GGACCAAAGTGGGACCTTTGGTTCCACTGAAACCATTCTATCCTTTGGTTCCGGAGCATTGCCATTAGGGTTCTTCTTGAATATTAGTAAATATTTTTTCACAGGAAACACTTTAAAATAATATGGTAAGGAAGTATATTTGAATGTATCACATCCTTCTCCGACTTCAACGTTAACTATTTACAACATATAGTAAAACGGTTCCGCGCGAATTGAATCAGTTGCGGTGTGTACCACGGGATGGCTTCGTCTTCAACCGCTCCGATAGCGTCTGGTGACCAAACTTCAGGTTCGAGGAGTGTACTGGTAAATGATTCACAATAATATATATTTATTGTTTCGATGAAGCGGTTGGACAAATTTAAAGCATAATCTCCCCAGTAGCAATTCGAGCGCGGTTTTTTCCTTAATGCATTAGGGATTGCATGCTATCATAACTCTAGCCTGAAAATCGGAACGTCAATTTTCACCCTACCTGGCCCTCCCTCTTTAATTGGGTGTCCGGATACTCATCATTCACACCCCCGCCCCCCAGACTACCACCTGTGTATACCCTAGCTACCGTAATCTATTACATGTGAAAGAAGGAAGATTGCGTTCTTGAAACCCGAAAAGAATTCCTTTTCAAAGTTCTTCACCTCAAGAAAGCTTCCTTTCAAACTCTTTCACGGTTATAAACCTGCTGTAGACTTTTTATAGTAATAGAGGATTTACACCACTGTTAGTACATGTTTACGGCGAATCGCCTCTTATTTAAAGTTTTGTACACAGTTTTTGTAACAATCTTTGTTAGAGAATCTTCCAATATAATTGTTGAGATTACACTCAATATCCCTATCGCTATCCAGTTCGGCAGCTAATCTGTCGCGACAGTCTCTCTTTGATTGTATTCAACATACCGATGTCAGATGTCTGTCAGTCTTCCTGGTTAAACAGTAGCACAGAATGCATTGGTGTGGGCAGTTTTTTAAATTAAGAGGTGTGCAATAACCGGCATAATTTATTGAGTCGTGGAATTGAAGAGTCGTCACACACTACCTGGTCCCCACACAACATAGTTTCTGACACATAATAGGGTGGGTGGCTCAGACTTCATATGTCTGCAAATGGGATAAAGTCCACCCTGAGAAGGAGCCAAAAAACGCGCTTCCCACTGGAGGGAGAGGCACCGATCCCTTACCTGTTTAGGGTGATAAGGGTCAGGTTCGTGTGTTGTTGTATGCGCTGGTGAGTAGATATATAGTAGTGGTTTGACCAGTGGTGTTTGATCGTAAGTTTCAATGAATGCGCTTACAGAATCTTGCAGTGCCTGGGTTTACCTATGTAGTGTTATCAGTAGAAGCAAATACAATTGGCTATGTTGGCTTTCCTGGTGCGTATTAGCCAGTCCCATGCGATGAATTCACAACTGACTGGCCCGACCGATATGGGATACAAAGGTGCGATCGCGATGCGGACAGGCTGCGATCGAGTTCGTATTGCTGATGCTGGTTGAGGGGGCGTGGGCAGTGTTGTCACTGGTTGCGGTATTAGTAGGGGTGATAGTCTTTATAGCTGCATGATAACGACCTATTTTCATTTGAGGTCTCGAAAATGTTCTGGCAAACTTATGTTCCATACATATTAGAATACTATTATAACCTCGGGATACGTGCTACCCATAAAGGGCAGGCGACCACAAATTCCAGTCATATGAATCATTTGTAACGTTTACCATAATCAAAAATGGCTGTGTAAACTGCAGTTCCGATCTCCTTCAGTTTTGACGTCTAACAGTTAGAAGTCGTCTGAAGTCAACGAAAGTGACCGACGCGACTGTGACCTAGAGGACAGAGGAGTCCGTGGTTTATTTTCAGTGCTTGTGATGTGTGTCACGTTATATCATCTATGTTTCGAGAGGGAGCAGTCGCGAAAAATATACCGCTTTTCGTTTGTGTTTGTGGTATGACTTTATTCCAACGTTCCCAGCGGGCTGTAATAGATTCTTAGTGCGGTCTTTTTTGGCAACCGTCTTTATGGATAAATCTAGAACCACCCTGAAGTGTCGCTTGTGCGTGTTGTAGGCATCACTACGCATGTACAGATAATTCGGCCGTTATGTCTACGCTCGTCTCTAACCGTTCTTATGTTTCTGTCTTTTAAAAGTGGTGCGTGCGGGAAAACGGAATGGGAGGGTTGCTGCGCAAACCTTTCACTATAAACTGATCCCGCACAAGTTACCACTACGCTCTCGGGATGCTCCTGATATTCATCAAGCATACTGGACGAACTACTGCCTTCCAGCATTTAACCGCAATCTTTAGTTTTCACAACAAATAATCTTTACAATTATTTGGTATTCGATCGCAACCTTTTCTTTTTTTCTTAACTATTTGTTAGTAAAGTTAATTTTATGTGTGTCGTATATTACTAAAGTGCGCCAGTGTCCTTTTTAAAGTCGCTTTGTTTCACTGTTTTCCGTCTGTCACAATTTCTCTGCATTCGCATAAAAGTTTCCCCATTTTTTCAGGTCATGTTGCGGTCGGATTGGATGAACACGTTCATGTACTTCACCCGTCTGTGCACCGTCGTAAGCTGTATATGCTTCATCCTGGCGCCATTAATTGCCAGTCTTGGTGCTGCCGGTCCGGCTGTTTGGTACCAAAGAGCTCTAATAGCCAACGCAGCCACCTCAGCACTCCGACTGCGCCAGCGTATCATGCAGTCTGGTGGCCAGATCCGATTCTCAATGGAATCCGTGCGCACTCTTTTAGCCGAAGATTCCCTCCACTACCTCATCTTCTCCATGTTATTTGTGATGTTGCCTCCCGTAACTGGTGAGTTACAAAGTACTCGGTGAATCAGGTTTCCGTGTGTTTCACTAGAAAGTTTCTTGTCTAACTTTAAAAAAACTTATGTTTACTTGTTTTCTTTTTACCGTTACTAGTTGCGCTGGTTCCCGTCTTTTGCTTCGCCCTGCTTCACTCGGCCAGCTTCACTGAAAACCTTCTGCGGGTACGTTCTGTATTCCTTGTTGACGCAGATTTAACAGGATCTCGGTCCTCTGAAGTG